TTTTCTCTTCATTGTAAACGCTGTGTTAAAAATTTGCCTATATCCTCGTGTTTAGATACTCTTGTTCTACTCCACAGAATCAAATAATTGGAGGAGGAAAATGCAGTCATTCTATCTTTGTCTGAATGACGACTTTCATTTTGTGTTTGCCCCACAGCTCTGTGCCAACACCAGTCTATCAGCTCATGCAGGTGTGTGATGCTTATGGCTAATTAGTCTTCTCTCCTGGAAAACCGGAGGCTTACGTGAAGCCAGTAGCTCGGCAGTTAGCTTCTTCTAGATGTTGAAACAACAATTAAGTTGAAATTTATGATGGCTGGCAAAGATCACTTAGACCACTACCCTTCTCTGAGAATCGAGCTTCACATTTGTCAAAGAGGAACGTTAGCAGCGGTGAGAAAAGCCTGCAGACGTGTTTTTGTTGCTTTCAGRTTTTAGGATGGCCAGAATAAAACGACCTACCTCAGCGTTTCTTCTGACGTTGCAATTTTCCTTCTTTAAAGTTGAAGTTATGGAGTTTTTATATTTTAGGTTCCAGCTGTTTTTAACCTCTAACCTTAATTTAGGCCGTGTGTGTGTGTCTCTGTGTGTGTGTGTGTGTGTGTGTCCTCACTCTAACAGGTTTGTAAACTGTTGACAGCATCTGTGAGGTCACAGATGATCATGCAGTTTTACTGATGAAATTGAGGTCATACTTGAAACATTGGTCGTTGGCCGCCATGACAAAACTGACCTGAAAATGTTGAGTTTGTGCTTMAAGTGCACCTACCTTCCCGCTGTTCGTTTGCAGAAAATATCTGTTGTACTTGTAAATAAGAATATTTTGTACCTGGAATGTTAGCAGATTCCACACGCTCAGCGTGCTGCACACTTTCAGTGTTTGTTGCTGTTTATATTGAGAAGAGGTTTCTGCAGTCACTACGTAGGAGTTTTTTGTTTGTGGGAGGAGTTTGTTCAAGACATGATTGGTCAAACTGACTATTTTGGGTGAGTTTGAAGAAGGTGGTGGCAGCTGGGAGTAGCTTGGTTGAAACCAGGAAGTATCTATATTTATTACATTTTATGAGTGCTTTTTAACTTGGTTGTTTTACATGGATATGGGTTTTATTACAGTACTTACTGTGTCTTTGCTTTGCTTTTTTTTTACTTATCTTGAATGTATGTGTTTAACATGGAGCCCTGTTAAAGAGGATTTTCTGTCATCTTTGACAGACAATAATGTTTATCTATCTATCTATCTATCTATCTATCTATCTATCTATCTATC